AGCCTTCCCTATGGAATCCTGACCTTTGCCCTCTGACCTTTGCCCCCTCAGCTGACCCCGATGCCGTGGACGGAATTAAAGGCACTGCAAGAAGGCGGGAACAGCAGCCAGGTGGGCGGGGCTACAGCGGGGGCGGGGTTGTAGGCTGCTTGCTCTTAAAAGGGCAACACCTACTTGTGTCTTCAAGGGGCAGTGCCTCAGGATTGGCCCTTAGATGGGTGGTTTAAAGAGGGGCGTGGCTTAAAGGGGGCAGGACTGCAGCTTCAAATGGCAATTGTCGTTATCAATTCAAAGGGCAATGTCTAGGGGTGGGCCCGCTGAGAGAAGCTGAAGGGGGAAGGAAAGAGGGGGAACAAGGGGGGGAGCAGGGCGATGTGGGGAGGGGGCATGGCCTATTCTAACTCTTCTAATCCCCCCTTTTAGGCACAGTTGCTGTCACTGAGCCGCCGCCTCCGGGCAATGCGGAAGAAGGAGAAGACCTTGGCAGTGGGCGGAGCCCAGGTGTTGTGGGCGGGGCCTGATAGGGGCGTGGCCGTGCTGAGGGGGGCAGGGGCCGGGGAGCGCTTCCTGCTCCTGCTCAACCCGGGGGCAGAGTCCTTGCACCCCTTCCGGCCCCGATCGGAAGTGGCCACGCCCACCACTGGCCCCACCCCGCCCCCTCTGCCCCCCCGCGCTCGCTTAGTGCTAAGCACACACGGATCCCCTCCCCCTGGCACCGAGACCCCCGTGGAGATGGCGGAGCTGCAGCTGCAGCCCTACGAGGGGCTCCTTCTGCGTCTGCCCCCTCAGTAGGGACCCCCGCTCCATGGGTTCCCATTGTGCCTCTGCCCCATAGGGGTACTGCAGTGCCCCCCCCTGCCCCCAGCATTCCACTCCAGACACTACACCAATGTTCTTCGGGGACCCCCAGTTGTGAGGAGCCCAACACCACGACATCCTCCCCCCCTTACCCACCATGGGCTCCCACTTTCTGCCCCATGGGAACCCCTTCTTGGGGCCTCTCTTGTGCCCCACTGTCCCTGTGTGCTGCATTGTGGCTACCCATACCCTTCCTCCCCCCCAAGTCCCCTTAGGGACCCTTCCCATTGTCACCCCATCCCATCAGGGTCCCCCCCTCAAATTCTCGATCTCTCCTTAGAGGCCCCCAATGGGATTCATCCTACTCAGAACTCTCCCCCAATCTTTCTCCTGGTGCCCCATAACCCCCGTTCTTCCCCCACTTACCCAATTTTGGGGCAAATAAAAGTTTACTCCTGGTGCTGCAGTTCTGTTGTTTTTGCTTTTTCTTGGCATTGTTTCACCCCACATTTCAACATCTGCCTCCAAATCTGCTGTTTCTCCCCAGATTCCCCCCCCCGCCGCCTTCAACCTGGGGCAGAGCCGTGGGAACGGACCGTTGGGCCGCGTTGGGGCGGGGCTGTGAGGTCCCAGTTTACGGTGGGGCCCATTTCCTCAATTCCCCCAATTTCTGCCCGGACCTCTTTCCGGTAGGACCATGAACTCCGTTCTTCCAGTTTCCGGTCGGACCCGATTTCCAATGGAGTCGAATACGCAACTTCCTGTCAGATCAATTCACCCAATCCCTTCACTTCCGGTCAGGTGGACTCCCCCACTACCTCAATTCTGGTCCCGCTCTCTCTCCGAACTTCCCCACTTTCGGTCGGATTCATTTTTCACCTTCGCTCCCACCGGAAGCTCCTCACCAACCGGAAGCCCCACCGCACCGGAAGTTTCTAAGCGGAAGCTCCACCCCACAGGAAGCGGCAGTGCCGCCATGAAGCTCCTCACGCACAACCTCCTCACCTCCCACGTCCGCGGCCTGCAGCCCGGCGCCGGTTTTCCATTCCACATCCGGGTAACCCCAGCTCCCCCCCACCGCACCCCCTCTACATCAGCTCCCGGTAACGGCTTCCGGTTCCGCTTTCCTCCCCTCAGGCCTCGGAGGTTCGGGTCCGTTCCGTACCGTTCAACGCGGCCTTCGTGGCGCGGCTCCTGCCGAGGCTCCACTGGGAGGCGCTGCTGAGCGCGGCTGAGAGCGTGAGCGGGAATGGGGGTGGCAGGGGCTTTTGGGGCGGATTTGGGGCGGGTTTGGGGTTTTTTGGGGGGGATTTTTGGGTTTGGGGGCGTTTGGGGGGATTTGGGGCTTTTGGGGACACTTGATTTGTGGGATTTGGGGTCATTTGGGGGGGATTTGGGGCTTTTTGGGGGCTGTGTGGGGATTTTTGGGGGAGGGGAGCCCCCATTTGTAGGTTTTTTTTGCCCCCCCTTAAGTTCTGCACCCACTTAATTTATACCCTCCCTTAATTTACACCACCCCATAATTTATGCCCCCACCTAATTATTTCAACCCTCCAATAATTCATGCCCCCCCCTTAATTTATGCTCCCCCTCTTAATTATTTCCCCCCCGCATAGTTTATACTCCCTCCTTAACTTTTGCCCCCCCCAGTAAATTAATGCTCCCCTCCTCCATTAATTAATGCCCCCCCCAGGTCGGTCACCCCCCAGCTCTGCCCCCCCAGCCCCCCCCACCCGATGATGCTGAGGAGGAATTCTTGCTTCGGCTGCACCACGTCCTGCTGGAGGTAGGGGGAGGGGGGCCTTTTTGGGGTGAAAGAAGCAGCTTTTGGGGCTGGGAATGGAAATGTTTGTTATGGGGGGGGGGGGTTGATCCCCCAGTTTTAGGGTCCCCTCCATTGTTGCAGGTTGAGGTGGGGGAGGGCTTAACCTTCCCCCAGTTTTGAATCTAAAAACCCCAAATTTGAGTCTAACAACCGCAATTTGGGGTTAGAAATCCCTTTTATGGGGGGGGTGATCCTGCAATTTTGGGGTGACCCCCCCCTATTTTTGTGCCCCCCCATTGTTGCAGGTGGAGGTGATGGAGGGCGAACTGCAGTGCCCGGATTCGGGGCGACGTTTCCCCATCACAGGGGGGGTCCCCAATTTGCTCCTCCCTGATGGTGATGCGTAGGAGACCCCCCAGAACGGGACCTCCCTCATTGTGACCCCCCTGACTTCAGGATCCCCCATCTTCATTGAGACCCTCCACCCCAGAACAGAGCCCATCCCATATTGGGACTCCCCCCACTTCGGGACCCCCCCCAAAAATGTGTGATGCAGCAGAGGGGCACAATGAAGAGATGTGGGATGAATGCAGCCTTTGGGTCTTCTTTCTGGGTGCCCCACAGCAACCCACAGCACCCCATAAGGACCCACAGCACCCCATAGAGCCCCATAACGCCTCACAGAGCCCCATAACATCCCCATGGAGCCCCATACTGCCCCATAACACCCCACAGCACCCCATAGGGACCCGTAGCTCTTTATTTCTGGGGTGACAGAGATGAGTGACAGCGGTGACACAGTGATCGGGATACAGCTAACGGGTGATGGTGACACAGCGAATGGTGACACGACTAATTATATTCCCGTGCCGATTAATTAATTAATTAACGCGGTGCCGATTAATTAATTAACGCGGTGCCTCACGCCGTGCTCAGCTCCGCCCAGGGCCGCAGAGCGACCAGCAGCGACTGCAGCGCTGAGCCCCAGCCGCGGCGCAGCACCGAGACCTGCGGGACAGCGAGCAGCTGTGGGGCAGAGCTATGGGGCAGAGCTGCAGCTATGGGGCAGGGCTATGGGGTAGCGCTGTGGGGCAGCGCTGTGGGGTGGAGCCGCAGCTGTGGGCACAGTCACACGTCTTTGCGGTACAGCCCCCACCTATAGGGCAGCCCCTCCCCCATCTGTAGGGCAGCCCCCCCGCTTTTGGGTCTGCTCCACAGATCTATGGGGCAGCAGCACTGACCTGCAGATATGGGGGGGGGCTCCCCTTTTCCACTTCCATCCACGCCCCCACGGCGTAACGCAGCCCTGGAAGCAGCAGCGGCACCTGGAGGGGGGGGGGGG